TCCTGTTCCCGATCTTTTTATAAAGATACATGGGCAGACTTTATCATTTGTGAATCCTTGCGTAGCAAGGAACTCACTTAGTCTGTTATACCACATTTTCCCCGATTGTTTAAGATCATATAATGATCTTTGAAGCCTAACAGAATAGACGTCCCGATGTCTATCTGCTATCTCTGGTGGAATTTTATATCCTTTAGGGAGTTTCATATAGATATCTTTATCTATATTGCCATATAGATATGCAGTCACAACGTCCATGAGCTGCATTTCTAGGCCTTCCAGAGATGAGAGGCTTATTAGGAATCAGAAGGTATTCCCATCCATAACCGGAGAATATGTGTTTTCATAGTCTATTCCCGATCTTTGGGAAAAACCTTGTGCTACAAGCCGTGCTTTGTAGCGCACAACCTCGTTGCGTTCATTTCTTTTTCTGATGAAGACCCACTTATATCCCACAGGTTTTACACTTTCAGGTGTTTGGACTACAGGTCCAAAGACTTCGCGTTTCAAGAGTGAGTCCAGCTCTACTCCTATTGCCTCGTTCCACTTTGGCCAATCGTCTCTGCGTTTACATTCCGCTAGAGACCGTGGTTCGATGTCATCGTCGTATTCAGTGACGTGAACGGCAATATCGAACGCAAAGTCGTCGTCGACGACTATGTTTTTTCTGTCCAGTACCTCCTCAGTACGTACAAAATTTAATGATGTTTCTCCTATTTGTTCCTCTTTAGGGGAATCTAGGAGGGGAGAGGAAGCTGGTCTGAGCTCAGTATCCTGTGTTGGGTTCATCTTTATTTCTCCAGAAATTTTTTTTACGAGGGACTTTGTCCTTCGAACCTGGTGGGCGTCCTCTTTTCAATTGAGGTACAGCCGTTTCTGTTGCCGGCGGATTGCATCCATCTTTGGGGATGTCAATCCTAGCTGGCGTGTTGACAGCAGGGACGTGTGATCTGACAATCTTCTGGTTATCAGTGAATTTATCCGGAAGTAAATGTACTGTATTCTGAAGATGAAGAATCTTCAGGATCTCATCTTCACATTGACTAGTACGCGGATTATAATGAGACAAAGTCTTGGTGTTCCAAAAAATGGTCTTAGAAGCGTCAGGCTTCCTGGACTGTGTGCCAAGTTTGGGAAATGAATCCTCAACAAATTCACAATCATCAAGACGTGCCTTAAATGCGTCACCCGTCTGGGGTTCAAGGTATCTTATTATAGAGGGCGAATCAAACCCTATATAGATACCCAAACGACGCTGTGGACCCATTTTAGCCCTTTGTGGAGGAGCAATTGGGACGTAAACTGCACAACCAAACACTCTTAAATGTGAGATATTCGGAGGTGCACCATAAGCAAGCTGCATTGGTGACAAAATATGGCCACCAGAGGACCGTATTCTGATAAGCGATGCGGCATGCAATATGGCATGACCCCAAGCCTCAACAGGCAACTGTGATTGCATCAACAATGGACGAGCAATCCATTGCAATCTCTTAATTAGAGATTCTGCTAACCCGTTCTGGGTGTGAACATGTGCTACAGGATGTTCAACTTCGATGCCAGTTGCTATGCAATAGTCTTGAAAGACTTGTGAAGTGAATTCTCCCGCATTATCAAGATGTAATTTCTTGATTTGATTATCGGGGAAATGAGCCCGCAACTTAATAATTTGTGCCAATAGCTTTGAAAAAGCTAAGTTGCGGGTGGACAAAAGGCACACGTAAGACCACTTGGTTGATGCATCTATAAGTACCATAAAGTACCTAAATGGTCCACTTGCGGGGTGAATAGGCATACACTTGTGTATATGTTTTTCCAAGACCAATGAGAGAATTTGTGATGTCGGTGAATCTTGTGAACATTTCTCCTATAGTCTCATTTTCCTTCATCTTGAATAATTCAAATCTGTGCACAAGAACAGAAATTTTAGATTCTTTAACTTTATTTGTACCTTCATGAGTTACCTCAAGTGTATGTCAAATATCGTATGCAGATGTGGTCGTTGACACCCTACTGAACTAATTCTTGTCAAGTGCACAAAATAAAGCATTCATTGCTTTAGAATCCAAGTTTGCATTGTTCCTTTGAGATGTAGTCCATTCCGAGAAAGGAGTGGTTGGCTTCTCATATTTCGTTTCCACGACGTTCCAAAGTTCGTAGCCAATTGATTGAAGGTAAATCTTCATTCGGCACTTCCAATAGTTGTAGTTCAATCCATCGAACATTGGTAGACGATTTATTGAGTGACCTTTTTTGAATTGTGAAGTATTTGTCGATGCCATCTTTTACCTTGCTCTGATACCAAATGTAGGATCTGAAATAGATACACTTGAACACTAGAGATTTCTTATGGGGAAAATCCAGCCAGTCCTCCAAAATGCCTCTAGTTGCTTGGAATAATGTTTGTATGGATAGAAAGAAGGGAGGTTTAGGGGTATACTCTGCTACATCTTGGAATTTGGCGGCAACTTTAAAAATCCTATGGCAAATTCATTCAAATAAGGAGTCTCTTTGGATCAAGTGGGTTCATGGGACTTACTTGAGACGAAATGACATATGGAATGTGACAGCTAAAAATAGTGACTCCTGGATGTGGAAACAAATGATCAAAGCAAGAGATAGAGCTGCTCTCTCTTGTGGTGGGATTAACAATCTGTTACAGTTGCTGGAAGTTTGCTGCAGGAATACAAAGTTTCTTATCTCAGCTTTATACCATGATTTGTTACCTGTTACTCAGCAAGTGCCATGGCATTATACTGTTTGGGATCAATTGAGCTATCCTAAACATTCTTTTATAAGTTGGCTTGCTGTCTTGAACAAATTACTTACTAAGGACAGATTGATGAAGAGAGGGCTAATAATTGATGGTTCATGCTGCTTGTGCTCAGGAGCTGAATTGGAGAACAGAAATCATTTGTTCTTTTCCTGTAAATTCTCTTCTGAAGTCTGGAATGGCATAATGAGTTGGCTTCAGTTTACCTGGAGATCATGTGAGTGGGATCATATCTTGGAGTGGTTTTGTACAAAGTTATTCCGGCATTGGTTGCAATCTTTGTAACCTGTTAGTTCTTTGATTTTTTGAAGTTTTTGTATACAATGTATTCAGGTTTTTGATCTCTCAGTGCTTGAGATCTTGATGTATATACATTTCTCCCATTGGTAAATGAATAAAAATTTTTCATTGACCAAAAAAAAAAAATTTATGCAAAGTATATTATAAATTACAAAGAAAAATGTCAATCTCAGAAATTCACAATCACAAACACAAGGATTTTATACTGGTTCCATCAATCCGGTGTACATCTAGTCCCCAAGCAAATCTCGCTTGAGAGTTTTCACTATGATTTTGAATAAACTTACAAAATTAAACGCAAACCTGACCAATTTGCAAGTCCCTGCAAATTGCAACACTAATTGACAAACACCTTGCCAATTTGAACACCAATCTCTAAACCAAGAGATTAACCCTCTCAAACCCGAGAGAAATCCTTGTTGAAGCAAGAACACAATTGATCCTATAAGCCTTGAATGTGTAGTGAAGTGCAGCAGTGGTTTAGGATTCTTTTAACCTCTGTAAATTGTCTAAATGATAGGTATTTGATGAATGTTTAGAGGCAATTTCAGAAACTTCTCTTTTTCACCTGAATATTTTTCACTTGAAAAATTACACAAAGATCAAAGCTTATGGGTATGTAAGTCTCTGCAATTTTTCTGAACAAATAACCTATTTATAGCCCTTGAAAAGATAATTTTTTGAACTTTAAAAACGTTTAAAAACAGCTATAAACAGTCATAAATTCAAACTTTGAATACTGAAAAAACTGTATCTGTAGTCGACTACTATTGACATTAGTCGACTACACTGAGTTCAAACAGACTCTGTGTATTCAGAAAATTTTCTCAGTAGTCGACTATAATGCTCATTAGTCGACTACACTGTATTTTGACAGAAACTGATAAAATAAAATTTGAGTTCAGTAGTCGACTATAATGATGATTAGTCGACTACACTGTAAAATAACAGAAACTTGTGTTTATGTCAAACACCTGAGTAGTCGACTATTATCACTATTAGTCGACTATACTGTAAATTGACAGAAACACATATTTAAGACTTATACACAAGTAGTCGACTACTATTCTAATTAGTCGACTACTAAGAGTAAAAATTATGATATAAAATATTTTTATACTTAAGTTTTAACTATATTTCTAATGGTTAACATAGGGGATTTCTATAGTTAACCAACACACTAAGCCTGTGTTAGTGTGTTCTAATTTTGTGTGTGTATGTGTGTGTGTGATCAAGGCTTGTACAAAAATTCTAAGTAAAGAAAAAGTAAAATACATTATCTCATTTGTTCTTCATTTTTTTCTCTTCAAAATGCCTTGAAATCAACTTGCACTTGTACATATTCTGATATTGAAATCTGCATATAAAAGTTAGTGCACACACTGTATAAATTGTTATCATCAAAACACTATTATGGAGATATGATATTCAACATATGGTATATGCTAGGTTCTTTTTGGTAGACAGAACACTCAAACTTTTAGCTAAACCGTTGGTGTTCATGCTCTGTTGAATTGTAGAGATGATTTTACTCCATAGATAGTTTTTCATAATCAAACTTGTTGACAAATAAGAAGGCAAAGAAACTAGAAGGAGCTCAGACGAATAAACAATCAAAGCGATTCTTCTTTCTTCCGACCTCCTCTCAAACCAACATGTAAAGCTTGATTCTTATAAGCTGGAAGAGTCACCAGTGATTCAGTGAGCTGGTATAAAGCTACACACACAGACTGTGAGGTTTTATTTAGCTGGTTCTGTTAGAAGATGCAGCCAATGTAAAAGTTGTCACAAAACTTTAATAAGAATCCATTTGTTTGAGATGAAGATTCCTGGTGATTATACATATCCTAATTATTGCTTGAATCTTGTTTTCCTTCTTTTAGTTTCATAGAGATACATGTATTAATCCTGTTGGCCTTCTTGCTAGGTACTATGGAGGATGGGCAGCACGTAATATATATTTCTTGGGCTTTGCGGGAGTTGTAAAGTTTGGCAACATTCGAATTGCAGGATTGTCTGGAATTTATAAATCAGGGAATTACAGATTAGGCAAGTTCATGAACACATTTCCAAGCTGCAAAGCTATAGTTCTTTTATAATTCATATGTCTTTGTTAACTTTTGGAAATCTGTATTTATATATCATTTTGATAAGCATTCTCTTGTTTACGACCTTAAATATTTTTTTTTATTCATTGCTGAATGCTGAATGCTCTGCGTTTTCCTTAAAGCTGTGAGCCTTTGTGGGTTCATACAATTAGCTTATGGTATTAGTTAACTATACTTTTAAAGTTCGGTATGATATTCTTCTAGACAAGGTAGTTGTTGATTTGACGGAGGATATGGACTTATTAGAGATGACTAGAGTCTAGAGAAGTGCAATTCATGTAGCACCTCAAAATATTTGGCATTAAATGCTTCATTATTGTTTACTATTGCTTTGATAATTTGCTGCTTGGAATTGTCATAATATCTCATGTATTTGGTGCAGGACACTATGAGCGGCCTCCATACAATGATAGGGATATTCGATCTGTTTACCATGTGCGGGAATATGATGTGTTTAAGCTCAAGCAAGTAAAAGATCCCATAGATATTTTCATGTCGCATGATTGGCCTCTTGGTATTACAGAATATGGTAACTGGGAGAAGCTTATTCGAAGTAAACCCCATTTCAAGGAAGAGGTAGTTTAATTGTTTCACGTCACGTGGATAGAATAGTGCGTAAATGTCAAAATCTCAGTTGATAACTTGGTGGATACATTAATCTTTCATGTATAGGGAAATTTGTTTAGAATCTTTGTCAGAACTCCATCGTATTCCATCCAATGGCTGAACATACCTATTTATCTTGCATTCTTGCTCAACAAACTGAAAATAGTTTATGAACAAGAGATTCAATGTTCCAGAGAAGTCGTTTCTGTTCAGATTCGCAGAAAGTATGCAATTTCAGCTGTAATTAAATATGCCATGTTATGCACATGTAAAAATCTTTGAAATGTTTTGAGTTTCTATTTTCTAGATTATTTAGATCTGTAGATCAAGATAAACAGTCCTTGAACTCCTCACAGTTTATTTTAAGAATTAGTTGTCATCTGTAGATTTCCCTATATGTAGCGAAAGTTGCGTTTGAAAACTTGGTGCAGGACACCAGCCCCTTTTCCTTTAAGAAACTATTATTTTTTTTCCTTGTACTAGTAGTATGCTCGTTTTGCTAAATAGAATTAATTGTATGACTAGATAGTATACTGTTAGGATGTGCTTGTTTTTGAGTCATAATTTGTGCTGAAGTCTTCCTATCACAAGCGTCTCGTCAAGTTAGGATTCTCTCCTCCCCCATCTCCCACCCCAACCCCAAATATAAAGCTATAGAACTTGAAATATTTTCTATCTTCTACTCTAATCTCTTTTTTGACTTTTCAATTCCTCTTTAACTGAATGCTTATTTGAGTTGATAATGGTTTGGCTTCAGTCTTTAATAAGTGATATTCACCTCACTGGATGTGCTTTTGTTAGTTCATTAGATTATATATTTCGCCTTAATATATAGTATATCAAGGAGGGATTTTAGGGACTTCGAGTCCAGACCAAAATCTGATTTTCTTACAAGA